TACTTTGTAGATTAAATACAAGTGATTGTTGGTAACCTTAAAATTTATTTTGACAGACAATACATTTTTTTTTCTTTTTCTGTGAGAAATGTTATTGGGGCTTCATAGGGATTACATTAAATCTATATATCACTTTAAATAATATCGATATCTTAACAATATTAAGTATTCTAATCTGTGAACACAAGATGTCTTTCCATTTATTTAACTCCTCTTTTATTCTAACAGTTTTTCTTTTGTATGTGGAATTCACAAGTGAATGAAACCGCTCAAGGCATATGATATTATGTAGAAAACAGATAATTTTACTTCTTCCTTTCCAGTGTAGATGCTTTTATATTTCTTGCCTAATAGCTCTAACTACAATTTCCAGTGTGATGTTGATAAGAAGTGGTAAAAGCAGATATTCCTGTCTTCTACCTGATTTTACAGAAAGACATTTTTTCAGTCATTTACCATCAAATATGATGCTAGCTATGGGCTTTTCACATATGGCCTAAATTATGGTGAGATAGTTTCCTTCTATTCCTGGTTTATTGAGTGGTTTTTAATCATGAAAGGGTACTGAGTTTTGTCAAATGCTTTTTCAGCATCCATTGAGATGATCAGGTGGTTTTCCCCTTTCATTCTGTTAATGTCGTATATTAAGAATGATTGATTTTCATATGTTGAACCATCCTTGCATCCCAATAATAAATCTCACTTGGTCATGGTGCGTAATCCTTTTAATAAACTCATTTACCAGTCTTTTGTTGAGAATTTTTACATCAATGTTTATGAGAGATAATGGTCTGTAGTTTTCTTATAGTGTAATTGTTTTGCTTTGATATCAGGGTAATGTTGGTCTCATAGAATGAGTTCTAAAGTATTCCCTCTTTTTCAGTTTTTTGGAAGAGCTTGTGAAGGATTGATGTTAATTCTTTTTTAAATATTTGATAGAATTCAACAGCAAAGCCATCTGGTACTGAGCTTTTCTTTGTTGGAAGGTTTTGATCATTAGTGAATCTCTTTTGTAGTTATAGATCTGTTCAGATTTTCCATTTCTTTATGATTCCGTCTTGGTAGGTTGTGTATTCTGAAGAATTTGTCCATTTCATATAGGTTATCCCATTTGTTGGCATTCAGTTGGACTTTTATAATCCTTTTAATTTCTGTCGAATCAGTAGCAATGTACATCCTTTCACTTTTGATTTTTGTTATTTCAGTCTTCTCTTTTTTTCTTAGTCAGTCTACCTAAATGTTTGTCAATTTTGTCGAACTTCTCAATGACACAACTCTTGGTTTTGTTGATTTTTCTCGAAGATTGGCTTTTATGTTTTTTATTTATAAATCATTCTTACACTAAGCAAATTGATATTATCAATGAGTTTAGTATTAGACTTCTGTATTTTTCTTGTAGTCTGGCAACCAAAACCTTTGTATTACATATATATGAAGGATATAAATAATCAGTGCTTTAAAATAATGAACTTAAATGTCTCTGCCATTTTTTCCCCTTAGGTAATGCCTTTGTCTCATTCATTGTTCATTGTAGTTTGTTGTTATAATTTGTCACATTGTTGTGGTTACTCTCTCATGGATAGCTAAAGTAGTGTCCCATGACTTGATTCCCAGCTGGAAAGTTTCTTGTATTTTCTTCATGCTACACTGTTGAAAGTTGAGATGAGATTAATTAATTGACATTGTTATATTAAACAACAGGCCACACAGCCATAAAGAAGAATGAAGTCATGTCCTTTGCAGCAACATGGGTGCAACTGGAGGCCATGATTCTAAGTGAATTAAATTCAGAAACAGAAAACCAAATACCGCATGTTCTCACTTAAGTGAGAGATAAATACTGGGTATACATGTGCCTAAAGATGAGAGTAACAGACACTGAAACTTCTAAAGGGGGCATGGAGGAAAGGGAGTAAATATTGAAAAACTACCTATTGGGTACTGTGTTCACTATACAGGTGACAATTCAATAGAAGCCCAGACCTCACCGTCACACAAAGTATCCTTATTCCAAACCTGTAGTTGTACCCCCGAATCTAAAATTAAAAACATTTTTAAAGCCAGTAATATTAATAGAAAAAAGGTGAACTTAGGGATGAACTTAGGGGTGAACTGAGAGGACCAGTGGATTGAAAATTCTAAATTTTAATTTTGTTTTTGTAAAACATGTGGGCTCATGGTTACTCCCTACCCTATTCCCTCCTGTAAAAAAAAGTTGATGTTACCATAATTCAGTGGGTGACCCTCTGCGATTATGAGCCATAGGCAGTCTTAGTGTTACTGTCAAGGAAATGCCACTGAAAACATTCATTTCATGATTTCAACAGAAGCTGAGAATCTTGCACATGCCTCTTGGCTTACTATAATTTCTCCCTCCCTTCCCTTGTTTCTTTCCCCCTCTCCAATCTCCCCCTCATTAGAAATCAGGAATTTTCTAGCTTTATTTTCCTTTTCAATTAATGAATAAATAGTATATATGCCCAAGATGTACAACATTATGATCTAATATACATATTCATTGTGTACTGATTACAAATATGGAACCCTTCACCAATTTACATGTCATCCTTGTGCTGGTGCCATGCTCATCTTCCCTGTATTGTTCTGGTTTTTGTATATGTGCTGCCATAGCAAACACATTAATTTCTTCTTGATAATCCATTTACTCAGTCCTTTTGGCTCAGAAACATTTGATCTCCGAGGCATGATGAATTCCTGCCTTCTGTGGTGCAGTGTCCTTGTGTCTTTCATTATCCTAATCTTCATGTAAGACTTATATTTATGAATCAAACCATTATTTCTTTAAGAGAGCTCTATCAACTTTTCCATAGATTTAACCATTTATTTCTCCAAGAGTCTTTTTCATCCATTTTTTCCTATGGATTTATTAGTTTATTGTTATCTAATCACTTCTACTGATCACTTTTGTTTTGCCAATAAAATATTTCTTATAATACTGCTTTATAATACATATTTTATTTGATTGATTCTAAGACACATATCTTTTCACATTTGAAAGTTGATTTATCTTGCAGTCATTAACATTTTACAACTATTATTGGCAGCACTTTAAATTTTATTCATAGTACATAAAATAGTGGTGCATCTTCTGGTCAATAGCAGTTACATGTGATGAAATAAATCACCGTTAATGATCATTGTAATAATTGCCATTAGAAACTTGCTGTGAAGTGTATACTTTTACGATGGGACCTATAAATGGCAACAGAACAGTTTTATAAAAAGTTTAGAGTGGAAAAAAAATCATCTACAAGCTGTAAATCTATGTACTTAAGAATCTTTTGGTGTGTATTTCATTTTGGTCTTTTCTTTAAGCAGGTGTACATATTTCTATTTGTTTGTCATTATAGTATAATCCTATTTTGCTCCTCTTTTTTAAAATTACTGTTATATTTTAATTTCCTGCTATTTCAGGCCTTTATATTTGTCATTTTAATAGCTCTGCCATCTATCCAGTGTATAACAAAAATAAAACTGCATGCTGCCCAGCTGTTGAAAACTTAGCTCATTGCCATTTTTTCCCCATTGTGAATAATGCTTCAAGAACAACTCGTTCGTGTTTTTATATTACAGTAAGTCCCCTACATACAAACGAGTTCCGTTCTGAGAGTGCATTTGTAAGTCCAATTTGTTCATAAGTCAAACAAACTTAACCTAGGTACCCATAACACAATCATCTATATAATACTCTACTGTAATAGGTTTATAATGCTTTTCACACAAATAATACATTAAAAACAAACACAAAAAATAAAACATTTTAAATCTTACAGTATATACTGTGCATGCACATGACAATGTATGCCAGACACATGAACTAACTCGTGTGATTGGATGTGTGAATGCACGTTTGCAACTTTGAAAGTTTGCAACTTGATGGTTTGCATGTAGGGTACTTATGTGGTATTAATTTTGATTTTTTTTTTTATGGAATATAACTTTGGGGAGATTTACTTGAGCCCAGGAGTTCCAGGTTGCAGTGAGCTATGATCACACCCACTGCACGCCAAGCCTGGGCAACAAAGCAATACTCCATCTCTTAAAAAAAAGGAAAAGAAAATATACTAAACTTTCCAAAAGGCTCCGGAACTGTGTTTTATTGTAAAGAATAAATCTTTGAATTCAGATAAATCAATCACACAATAAATATCTACGATTATAAACACACTGCTCATTCTTTCATTCAGTTATCCATCTATCTGCAGCAATACATTGGATTGTTATGAGTCCCTTAGCTTCCAAAAGCTAGGAATCAAAGTTAAATAGGATACCCCTCTGACTTTTGATATCTCATTGTGAGATAGTGAGAGACTTGGACTTGTAAAAATAAGTACTGCAGTGTGATGAGGGATGTTGGGACAATATGGGTCAAATTCCTTCATTGTATGAAGTTGACTTTGTGTTGTTGATTGATGTTCTTTAAGATATGAGGTATGTACATACCATGTCACATTAAAAAACAAAACAAAACACATATATCATAGGCTTTTCTGACAGTAAATGGTCCCACCTGACCTTGCCACCCTCCTTCTCTTTCGGTCTAAGCCTGCATCTTACGAAGTCTTGGTCTAGTGTTTGTCTAGAGTTCCCTGTGTTCTATTTCTCCAGCATACCAGGCTTTGGATTGTCAGTAACTGTGTCATGTGACTCTTTCCTGATCCACACCTATTACAGACCACTGTGTTTGTAGTAGGTATTGAAGTATTGGTGGTTCATTTGACTTGCCTTCAATTATGCTTTCTTTATCTAACGAATGAAAATATTTCACCATTTTGGTGGGCACAATGGTTCACGCCTGTAATCCCAAAACTCTGGAAGGCTGAGACTGAAAGATTGCTTGAGTCCAGGAGTTCGAGACCATTCTGGGCAACATAGTGAGACCTCGTCTCTACAAAAAAAAATTTTTTTTAATTAGCCAGGTGTAATCCCAGCTACTTGAGAGACTGAGGTGGAAGATCGCCTGAACCCAGGAGGCTGAGGCTTTGGTGCGCTGTAATTCTGTCACTGTACTCCTAGGTGACAGAGTGAGACCCTGACTCATTTAAAAAAAAAAAAAAAAGACAATACTTTACCTTTTTATTCTTTCCATAGAACTTCATTGTCAGTTTACATTCTGTGATCCTGATGAAATCAATGTCATTTAAATTCTATCATGTTATATGTGTTTAGTTTTTAAAAAGTCAAATTAAGAAAATGTTTGAGAGATTACATAATGTGATAGAGATATTTATAGTAAAAGTTTAAAATTCTGCTACTGGTGATGGTTGGAAGCAGAACCTTCACTGGATAAAATAAAATCGCCTGTAAAAATTTTTGGAGGATATTTAAGCCTTGTAGAAGGGGAAAAACCAACAGTATTTCTATATAACTAGGTGTTAATTCAGGCACTGGGTACAATAGTTTGGAAATAACCCTTTATGGTTTCTTATTGTAAGGTCATTAGGTAACTATGAACTTGTCTTCTTTATACTTGTACGTTAAAAAAACTCTTATTTTTAAATTTCTCAGAAGGCACTGTTGAAAACAGCTTTTGAAAATTTTTTTCTTGGGAATTTTTTTTCTTTTCTCTTTTCATTTCTGAATCATAAATAGCAGAATTGTGCTATGTTCTTTACAGAGGGATGGTGGTTAGATCGTATACTGTGGTACAAACATGTTGCTGTACAGAGTCTTGTCCCTTTGTGATCTTCAAATAAAATGGTGGAGAGAGGGGTGAGGGGAATCTGGGAGTAATGAGATAAGTTTACCTCAGCTTTTCAAAACACTTGTATAAGCGTGAAATTATTCATTTGGACAACTGTTCTAGCGGCCATTAGATATTTCAGGGAAACCAACTGTATAGAAGAATATATGGTAAGGATGGTTTGGCTGTCAATGGAATTTTTTTGTTTGTTTGTTTTGAGTTGGGGGTCTCCATCTGTTACCCAGGTTGGAGTGCAGTGGCACCATCACAGCTCACCACAGCCTCAACCTTCTGGGCTCAGGCGATCCTTCCACCTCAGCCTCTCAAGTGACTGGAACCACAGGTACATGCCACCACACCCGGCTAATTTTTTTGATTTTTTTTTTTTTTTTGTAGAAATGAGGTATTGCTATGTTGCCCAGGTTGGTCTCGAACTCTTGGACTCAAACAGTCATCCCACCATGGCCTCCCAAAGTGCTAGGATTCTAGGCATGAGCCACCGCGCCCCTGGCTGGCAGTTGATGGAATTTGAAGTAGTGTTAACGTCACCAGCTGAGATAAATTTACCCTTTTTCCCCCAAGCTGATTTATGGGCTGACTTCCGTGTCTGAGGGATTGATCTCTTGGCAAGCCTTTATGAAGCAACATCACGGAAAGAGAAATCATGTGCGTGTGTCAAGTTCTGCATTTGTTGTGTTAGCCCTTTTTGTGGGGTGTGTGTAATCTTGTGTACAACTAACAAAAGGTAGCTGTGTCTGCAGTGAAAGATGCCCTCAGTTTCCAGAGACAATGGGTCCCACAGAGAGAGAGACTTGCTTTCTCTGCATCCACACACTTCTATCAATGTCATTAGTGCACTGACTCTTTTATGAAGCCCTTGGTTACTCACCAGTTCGTTCCAGGCTATCTGTCTTAACTTCTAGCCTCGTCGACAAAATTTGTATGGTTAGTCTGAGACATATGCAGATAGATTGCGAAGGTTCAGCGTTCTCAGATGTGGATGCAAGCATGCCGTTGCTCACCGAATTGATGGATGTGGCTTTCCAGCAATATTGATGTTTCTACAGCTGCTTATAAATCCTGGGATGCCTTGGTTTGCCTTTCCACAGTCATGTGCAGTTCTTGACTGTTGGTTTTCTAACTGTCTTGTCTCTTAGAAGGCCTCATCTCTCAGTGTTTAGGTGGCAAGACAAAGGGAACTGTTCTTGCTCCCCCGATCACAACAGCGAGGATTGTGAATGGGAGTCTCTGGCCAGGTGTGAAGGGTTCCCCTACTGATTACACTCCCCAAGGAAAGATGTTACAAAGTCAGGTAGTGGTTTAGAACTTTGGATACGTTGGCTAATGGTACAGAGAGGTGCGGAGAATCGATGAGCCTGCCAAGACTTCTGCCGCCCAGAATGTTCCAGAAACATGGTTTGATTCGTGTCTTAAAACATAACTTTTCCCCATGTTTCTCTGTAGAGAAATGTCCTTGGTTCTGCTTTGAACTCTTAAGAAACATAAGCATACCTCTGCCTGTGAACCGTGGGGCAAGTATCAGTCTGGGTTCTTAATTTTTATTTATTTATTTATTGAGCCAGAGTCTCACTCTGTCACCCAGGCTGAAGTACAGTGGCATGAGCATGGCTTACCACAGCCTCAACCTCCCAGGCTCAGGCAATCCTCCTGCCTCAGCCTCCCGAGTAGCTGGGACTACAGGTGTGTGCCGCCACACCCAGCTAATTTTTTTAATTTTAATTTTAATTTTCATAGAGACGAGGCCTCACTATTATGTAGGTTCTGAATTTGCCAGAAGTTGGGGGAAAGGGCAGAAACAAATAGAGACTAAGGAACCTAGTCATAGCCTGGTCACACAGTAGGGTCAGTTCTGTGCAGGGCAGACCTTGTCAGTGAGCACTCAACATGGGTGTTCCTACTGACCATCCCTTTGAGATCCAACACCCAATGCCAGCTCTGTCACCTCAGCCCTTGTCACCGCTAGACACTGGGTGTTACTACCATTGTTCTCACCCACGGAAATGTCCTCCTGCCCCTGCCTGCCTCTTTGTGTTTAGTTCTAGATTCAGGGTTGGCCAAGGCTAAGGCATGTGCTCATCCTTTGCTGCAAGAGACTCTGGGAAGGTGAGTATCAGCCATCTTTGCTTCTGTGAAAGATATGCCTTGCCTCAAAGTTCACATGATAAGAGATTCACCTATTATAGGGGAAGGGGTTTGGAAGCTTGACATTCCCCATCTTTCTCCTCCGGTAAGGATACAACTCATTGTAACAAGCCACAGTAGAGACTCCGGTAGAAGGGGTGATGACAGCAGTGACCAAGATGTTTATCTATATGAAGCAGTAATGGATGTAATAACTTACCATGGCCAGTTCTGCCATGTGGGTAGGTGTCCCGGGACCCTCTTAACCATGTCTTAATGAAAGCTGAAGCTGTAGAGACTTAGGGAGGTTGGACCTCTCACAGTGTGGTCCTTAAGGTAATAAGATACAATGCATTAACTTGACTTTTGACAATTTGATGAGGAAGAACAGATTAAAATTTATCTGTTTCCTTGTTTACAGTAGAAAAGGAAATTTCTATTACCAGTTTATCTCATACTGTTGGGTGGTTTCTATGTTTGATTGATCAACTTCTACTCTTTTCAAAATTTGTTTCTAATTGCAATAATCCATACATTTAGCAGACAGTCCCCTGCCCAGCTCATTTGCATTGCCATTTGCCACATCTCAGAAGCAGTTCCTTTTTATTCTTTTAGCTCTTTGGATATTTACTTACCTGCCCAGCACAGTTCTGTGTTTATGGGGGTACTTCTTGAATTTGTTATTCAAATGTAGGTGTTAAACACTAATTCCTGTGAAGGAGGATAGGGGTTTGACTTTTTAATATTGTCCCACTCTTCAATACCTGTCTTTTACCCTCCAAGATCGTTGTAACTCAGTTTGTTTTTACTGTAAATATTATTCACAGCTGAGCCATGCACTGTACCATGATTTTATTTTCCTTCTTGTATAGCATATATATTTATTTATGCATTTAATTTGCTTTTGCTTACTAGTAATACTGCTTACTGCTTATTTATCCCCAGATTCCCACGTAAGGTCAAACACAATGTCTTGACTCTCAGCTCGTGTGTGTGTGTGTGTGTGTGTGTGTGTGTGTGTGTGTGTGTGTGTGTGTGTGTGTGTATGTGTATGTGTGTGTGTGACATTTTTCCCAGAGGCCCCTCACCTGTTCCATTCTGGACTGTTTACTGTCAAGGTCTTTGCACAGCTGTTGATCTGAATTTCCCTCACCATCATGTTGGGTATTGCTGATTGACCTGTTTACTGGACGGTATCTCTTTGGGTTTTAACTCCATTTTGAGGAGACGCATTGCCTAGTTATTTCTTGTAAAGCAAGTGCAGATGTCTTTTTTTTTTTTTTTTGAGATCTGGCATGTGCCAAGATATCATGTAGTCTCCCCTTGCATATGATTGATAGTGAATTTAAAGCTGAAAATTACTTTCCCTGAGCGTTTTCGTGACCTTGCTCTGTTTTTGTCTGCTTCCGGTTTTGTTATTGAATTGTTGAATGTTCTTCTGACTCCACCTACTTTGTATGCAGCTTGTTTTTTTCTTTCTGGAGGCTTTTAGGATTTTTTAAAAAATCCTCCAATGTCCTGAGGTTTCATCATCATATGCCCTGGTATGTAATTTTTTAAATTCATTGTGAAGATTCTTTTAGGGGGGCAGGAATGATTTTATGTCCTCTGTTTTCTTTGTTGTTTTTTTCTGGAACTCCTGTGTGTCAGGTGCTGAGATGTTTGGATTGTTCCTCCAATTCAATTATTATTAAAAAAAAAATTCCTGCTTCCCATCTTCGTATCTTTTGTTCTGCTTTTGGGGAACATTTACCAATATCATCTTCTAACCCCGCTATTGACTTTTTAAATTTTCTGTGAACATATTAATTTCTAGAAACTTTTACTTATTCTCACAATATTTCTGTTTTATAGTATCCTGGTTTTTATTGCTTTGTGAATGCAATAATTTTTACCCTTATGGGATTATCCATCAGGAGTCTTTGAAGTTTTCTCCCTGCATTGACTGTTTCCTCCTGAAGCTCCTGCCTGTCATGTCAGACCCTATATCCCACGTCTGGTGCTTATATTGTCATTTTTATTTATGTTGCTGCACTGAACAAGGCTTTGTCAACTGGTGGTATTGCCATTGGGTGACCACCTCTTTCAGAAGTCACCTTGCCTTCCAGTTTTGGTTTCTGTAAGTCTCTCTTCTTAGGTTGGTTCATTTCTCCAGTAAAG